ATCAGTACTATCGACTGGCATCAAAAAATAGAAAATCTAAATTTTGACCCAAATCGACCAAAATGGCAAGGGGTTACATCACGATTTTTATCAAAATCGGGTTCCGCCGCTCTAAAAACGACATATATCCGCGGAAGATATGACGTTTGAAAACGACATAACTCCAATTTTGGACTCGTAAGGATCAGTACTATCGATTTTTTTGAATATCTCGGCCAATTAGTGTCCGATCTTCAAATTTTATACCATTTTGGACTCGTAAGGATCAGTACTATCGACTGGCATCAAAAAATAGAAAATCTAAATTTTGACCCAAATCGACCAAAATGGCAAGGGGTTACATCACGATTTTTATCAAAATCGGGTTCCGCCGCTCTAAAAACGACATATATCCGCGGAAGATATGACGTTTGAAAACGACATAACTCCAATTTTGGACTCGTAAGGATCAGTACTATCGATTTTTTTGAATATCTCGGCCAATTAGTGTCCGATCTTCAAATTTTATACCATTTTGGACTCGTAAGGATCAGTACTATCGACTGGCATCAAAAAATAGAAAATCTAAATTTTGACCCAAATCGACCAAAATGGCAAGGGGTTACATCACGATTTTTATCAAAATCGGGTTCGGTTCGAAAATCAAACCTTTTTTGATGATTTTTTTGAATATCTCGGCCAAATAGTGTCCGATTTTCAAATTTTATACCATTTTGGACTCGTAAGGATCAGTACTATCGACTGGCATCAAAAAATAGAAAATCTAAATTTTGACCCAAATCGACCAAAATGGCAAGGGGTTACATCACGATTTTTATCAAAATCGGGTTCGGTTCGAAAATCAAACCTTTTTTGATGATTTTTTTGAATATCTCGGCCAAATAGTGTCCGATCTTCAAATTTTATACCATTTTGGACTCGTAAGGATCAGTACTATCGACTGGCATCAAAAAATAGAAAATCTAAATTTTGACCCAAATCGACCAAAATGGCAAGGGGTTACATCACGATTTTTATCAAAATCGGGTTCCGCCGCTCTAAAAACGACATATATCCGCGGAAGATATGACGTTTGAAAACGACATAACTCCAATTTTGGACTCGTAAGGATCAGTACTATCGATTTTTTTGAATATCTCGGCCAATTAGTGTCCGATCTTCAAATTTTATACCATTTTGGACTCGTAAGGATCAGTACTATCGACTGGCATCAAAAAATAGAAAATCTAAATTTTGACCCAAATCGACCAAAATGGCAAGGGGTTACATCACGATTTTTATCAAAATCGGGTTCGGTTCGAAAATCAAACCTTTTTTGATGATTTTTTTGAATATCTCGGCCAAATAGTGTCCGATTTTCAAATTTTATACCATTTTGGACTCGTAAGGATCAGTACTATCGACTGGCATCAAAAAATAGAAAATCTAAATTTTGACCCAAATCGACCAAAATGGCAAGGGGTTACATCACGATTTTTATCAAAATCGGGGTCGGTTCGAAAATCAAACCTTTTTTGATGATTTTTTTGAATATCTCGGCCAAATAGTGTCCGATTTTCAAATTTTATACCATTTTGGACTCGTAAGGATCAGTACTATCGACTGGCATCAAAAAATAGAAAATCTAAATTTTGACCCAAATCGACCAAAATGGCAAGGGGTTACATCACGATTTTTATCAAAATCGGGTTCCGCCGCTCTAAAAACGACATATATCCGCGGAAGATATGACGTTTGAAAACGACATAACTCCAATTTTGGACTCGTAAGGATCAGTACTATCGATTTTTTTGAATATCTCGGCCAATTAGTGTCCGATCTTCAAATTTTATACCATTTTGGACTCGTAAGGATCAGTACTATCGACTGGCATCAAAAAATAGAAAATCTAAATTTTGACCCAAATCGACCAAAATGGCAAGGGGTTACATCACGATTTTTATCAAAATCGGGTTCGGTTCGAAAATCAAACCTTTTTTGATGATTTTTTTGAATATCTCGGCCAAATAGTGTCCGATTTTCAAATTTTATACCATTTTGGACTCGTAAGGATCAGTACTATCGACTGGCATCAAAAAATAGAAAATCTAAATTTTGACCCAAATCGACCAAAATGGCAAGGGGTTACATCACGATTTTTATCAAAATCGGGTTCGGTTCGAAAATCAAACCTTTTTTGATGATTTTTTTTAATATCTCGGCCAAATAGTGTCCGATTTTCAAATTTTATACCATTTTGGACTCGTAAGGATCAGTACTATCGACTGGCATCAAAAAATAGAAAATCTAAATTTTGACCCAAATCGACCAAAATGGCAAGGGGTTACATCACGATTTTTATCAAAATCGGGTTCCGCCGCTCTAAAAACGACATATATCCGCGGAAGATATGACGTTTGAAAACGACATAACTCCAATTTTGGACTCGTAAGGATCAGTACTATCGATTTTTTTGAATATCTCGGCCAATTAGTGTCCGATCTTCAAATTTTATACCATTTTGGACTCGTAAGGATCAGTACTATCGACTGGCATCAAAAAATAGAAAATCTAAATTTTGACCCAAATCGACCAAAATGGCAAGGGGTTACATCACGATTTTTATCAAAATCGGGGTCGGTTCGAAAATCAAACCTTTTTTGATGATTTTTTTGAATATCTCGGCCAAATAGTGTCCGATTTTCAAATTTTATACCATTTTGGACTCGTAAGGATCAGTACTATCGACTGGCATCAAAAAATAGAAAATCTAAATTTTGACCCAAATCGACCAAAATGGCAAGGGGTTACATCACGATTTTTATCAAAATCGGGTTCCGCCGCTCTAAAAACGACATATATCCGCGGAAGATATGACGTTTGAAAACGACATAACTCCAATTTTGGACTCGTAAGGATCAGTACTATCGATTTTTTTGAATATCTCGGCCAATTAGTGTCCGATCTTCAAATTTTATACCATTTTGGACTCGTAAGGATCAGTACTATCGACTGGCATCAAAAAATAGAAAATCTAAATTTTGACCCAAATCGACCAAAATGGCAAGGGGTTACATCACGATTTTTATCAAAATCGGGTTCCGCCGCTCTAAAAACGACATATATCCGCGGAAGATATGACGTTTGAAAACGACATAACTCCAATTTTGGACTCGTAAGGATCAGTACTATCGATTTTTTTGAATATCTCGGCCAATTAGTGTCCGATCTTCAAATTTTATACCATTTTGGACTCGTAAGGATCAGTACTATCGACTGGCATCAAAAAATAGAAAATCTAAATTTTGACCCAAATCGACCAAAATGGCAAGGGGTTACATCACGATTTTTATCAAAATCGGGTTCCGCCGCTCTAAAAACGACATATATCCGCGGAAGATATGACGTTTGAAAACGACATAACTCCAATTTTGGACTCGTAAGGATCAGTACTATCGATTTTTTTGAATATCTCGGCCAATTAGTGTCCGATCTTCAAATTTTATACCATTTTGGACTCGTAAGGATCAGTACTATCGACTGGCATCAAAAAATAGAAAATCTAAATTTTGACCCAAATCGACCAAAATGGCAAGGGGTTACATCACGATTTTTATCAAAATCGGGTTCCGCCGCTCTAAAAACGACATATATCCGCGGAAGATATGACGTTTGAAAACGACATAACTCCAATTTTGGACTCGTAAGGATCAGTACTATCGATTTTTTTGAATATCTCGGCCAATTAGTGTCCGATCTTCAAATTTTATACCATTTTGGACTCGTAAGGATCAGTACTATCGACTGGCATCAAAAAATAGAAAATCTAAATTTTGACCCAAATCGACCAAAATGGCAAGGGGTTACATCACGATTTTTATCAAAATCGGGTTCCGCCGCTCTAAAAACGACATATATCCGCGGAAGATATGACGTTTGAAAACGACATAACTCCAATTTTGGACTCGTAAGGATCAGTACTATCGATTTTTTTGAATATCTCGGCCAATTAGTGTCCGATCTTCAAATTTTATACCATTTTGGACTCGTAAGGATCAGTACTATCGACTGGCATCAAAAAATAGAAAATCTAAATTTTGACCCAAATCGACCAAAATGGCAAGGGGTTACATCACGATTTTTATCAAAATCGGGTTCCGCCGCTCTAAAAACGACATATATCCGCGGAAGATATGACGTTTGAAAACGACATAACTCCAATTTTGGACTCGTAAGGATCAGTACTATCGATTTTTTTGAATATCTCGGCCAATTAGTGTCCGATCTTCAAATTTTATACCATTTTGGACTCGTAAGGATCAGTACTATCGACTGGCATCAAAAAATAGAAAATCTAAATTTTGACCCAAATCGACCAAAATGGCAAGGGGTTACATCACGATTTTTATCAAAATCGGGTTCCGCCGCTCTAAAAACGACATATATCCGCGGAAGATATGACGTTTGAAAACGACATAACTCCAATTTTGGACTCGTAAGGATCAGTACTATCGATTTTTTTGAATATCTCGGCCAATTAGTGTCCGATCTTCAAATTTTATACCATTTTGGACTCGTAAGGATCAGTACTATCGACTGGCATCAAAAAATAGAAAATCTAAATTTTGACCCAAATCGACCAAAATGGCAAGGGGTTACATCACGATTTTTATCAAAATCGGGTTCGGTTCGAAAATCAAACCTTTTTTGATGATTTTTTTGAATATCTCGGCCAATTAGTGTCCGATCTTCAAATTTTATACCATTTTGGACTCGTAAAAACTCCGCGCTAAAAATTGCGTTGGAGATATGACGTTTCAAAACGACATATCTCCACCGACATAATTTCGTTGGAGATATGACATTTCAAAACGACATATCTCCGCGCAAAACATCTCCGCGGTTCTAGAGACCAGAATTGGGTGCAGTTCTTCGCAGTTAGCCCTAAGAGCAGACATACATACCATATATATGAACTATCCAAATGAGCTCTTGTTCGTATACCCTTGTTCCACCCACAGAAACCCAAGGAGCTGGCGCGCAGCGTCTCAAAGGGCATCACGGCACAGTTGGACATTATTGGAGGCAAGCTCGTGGGACTCTAAAGATGAAGACATGAAATAAGTAAGAAACTTTTGTTTTTTTTTTTTGTTTTGTATAACTTTTATTTAAATAAATAGTTTAATTTATTTTGTAACCTATACACAATTTTTGTAATTGTTATTTTGTATTTGTTTAGGAATGTGCTTGAATAAACTTTATGTATAAATATATATATGTATATATATATGCTATATAAATTGTGTTTTTTTTTCTTTTCTCTTTAGCTAATTTCACTTGTTGATTGCATTGCGGGCAGTTGTTGTTGTCATTTGTCTTCTTCTTCGAATACTTAATTGCCGTACAATAACATACAGATTGGATATGGTATATATATATATATATATATATGTATATGTATATAGCCTTCGATGTCTATCTAGCAGCGCGCTCTTCGCACTCAATTTGCCCGAAAAAATACCAAACTCTTGGTATTTTTTTGGCCCAGAGCTTAGCTGACATTTGTGTAGATATTCATCAAAATATATATATATATATATATATGTATATATATATATATATAGATAGATCTATGCATAAACTAGATGAGCACATCACAATATGGATATACCGCTAACTAATAGATTAGAGGCTCGCAAAGCTGACTTCACAAAAATACCACTAAATACTGCTGGCAAAGAGAGAAGCAACAGGAAAAATACTAAACTTGTGTGAACTCAGCTTTGGGCTTGGCTTACTTTTTCGCCTCGCTTCACTTTTCTAATAATACAAAGTTCAGAAGAAAAAAAATGAACATATTTAAATTAATTTTTGGCACATTTCGCAGCAGAAAAAAAATAATAATAATACTAAAAAAAAATTAGGGTAGATGGGGTGGGGGGAGGGGGGGGGATAATATATGCAATAGCCTGTGTCCCGGCGCCTTGCTTTAGAAATTCTCCATGTCGCGGAGGATCGGATCTAGCTAGAGACGAGTTCAATCCTCCCAGCTGCTGGTGCGCGTCTGCGGATCAATTGAGGGCGAGTACGACTTGTACGTGTCGGAGACCTTCTTGTGCTTCACCGTGCAGAACAACAGCATCGAGGTAATCAGCCCGAAGAGCTGGACAAACGCAATGCCCAGTCCGATGGCTCCGACCACATTTAGCTGGCTATTGAACCAGCCCTGCAGCGAATGGGCACAGCCCTTGTCCCACCACAAGGTGGGATTCTCGGATCTGCCGCAATCCACGCGCATCACCCCATCCCCGGAGCCCTCGGTGATCAGCTGCCTCTGATCGTACAGCTGGCGGCAGCAGGAGTCCGGCACCCAGCGCTTGCCGCTCCACGACTGTATGTCATACCAATCCTCGTACGACGACACGCCGCAGCATTCAAACTGTTCCAAAAACAAAAGAAGTTAGTTCTGAATTAAGTCAAGCAAGAACATTGCAGTCGGCTGTCACCGACTGCGCCATACTCTGTGCACAGTGTGAAAACGTCGCATATCCCAACTCAAGTTACTTTCAATAAGGTGCCTGAAATATATCTTGCACTGTCTCTATCTATCGCTTATGCCCGTTTTCACATTGTGAACAGCGTATGCATGGAAAGAGAGCTTACCGACTGCTGCACACTGTCCCAAATGGCAGCCACAGATGGCGCCACCAGCGAGCCCCGATCGCTGGCATTGTAATGGCGCTCGATGCCGAAGCGCAGCTCGTTGGCCAGCGTGCGTCCGAGTCCGCCGCGGAAGAGGAACGCAATGGAGCCCACCAGAAACTCGCTCATGAACAGCATCACGATCAGCATAAAGTACTGGGCAGAACAAAATCCGAGATTATAAAGCTGCCGCAAATTAATTAATGTGTATAAATGCACTTACCAGCACCAGCAGACAGCGAGACTGTACCCAAGCGCCGCAGCAGCCAAAGAAACTGACCACAAATCCGATGCCGCCGATGCACATGAAGATCGTGTCCGCGCTCAGACCCGCGTGCTGTGGCAGCAGCGTTGCGTAGCCCTCGTAGCTGAGGCGCAGCCACAGGCCGGCTCCAAGGAAGGCGCAGCTGCACAGCTGCAAAAAGTCAAATACAATTTATCGATAACAAAAGATCGTAAGAGTTGAACGAAGCACAGAGAGTCCAAGGGAGCAGGTCTTAGAGAGAAAGGAAAAGAGAGATAGAGAGAGAGAGAGAGAGAGAAAGAGGGAGGCGCAGCTGCAAAAACACAAATACAATTTATCGATAACAATAATCGTTAGAGTTTAGCGAAGCACTGAGTCCTCAAGAAAGCAAATGTTAGAGAAAGAGAGAGAGAGAGAGAGAGAGAGAGAGAGGAGAGAAGCAGAGAGAGGTGCAGCTGCAAAAAAACAAACATAATTTATCGATAACAATAATCGTTAGAGTTAAGTGAAGTCCTGACTGCAAACGTCAGAGAGAAAGAGAGAGAGAGAGGAAGAGAGAGGCAGACAAAAGCTGCCTGCTTGCTGCTGCCTTCTGCTAGTGTTGGTTAACGAAAACGCGATTGTTCGCTCGCTTTACGGTTATTTTATCTTATCGATTTTCGATCGGAAATATCGTTTGGCTTTGGATTTAACGCCAACAATCATTGATAATTATTATAACTCGAATTAAGCCAAGCGCCATTTTTGAGCATTTAACTCTAATATTATTTAATCCACCAAGCGAGGTAAGCTTGCAACAAATTTAATTGTTATTGCCTGGCATTGCGCGGACCAAGCGTTTTGCTGCAAATTGTAGTTATTTGTTAGCTTTGCTGCTTTTGGACAATTAACTGGCTGGCAAACACGTTTCATTAGTTGTTAGCTACAATTTTTCGAGAGCTCCTCACTAAGTGGATTGGTAGTAAAAGCTATAGCCAAAAAGTACTTCAATAATTGGAGGATAATTATGATAAGTTAGAGAATATGAGTTCATAGAATTATATTGTGTTGAGGAACTGAAGGCCTGTTGTAGTTACTTATAGTATTATTTCTAATATAATATGAATGTATTATAGTTAATCTTAATAATAATAATAAAAAATAAAGTGTTGAATTTGCCACAAAGTTACTTTTTTGTTTACAAAACTGAAAAGGGGGGATCTTAAGAGAATAGTCTAGCCTCCTTAAAGTCTCCGAGTTCAATAACCAGCGGATTATAAAGTTCTTCAGGTGCATATTCAAGCAGATTTGCTTATATTCTGCTAGCTTTTTAGTCCTTTTACTAAAGCCTTCAAGTCCAGTATCTGGCGGGTGTTATATTCCTCTAACTCTTAGACAAAAGTCTCAAAGGCGAATTCTAGCAGTTCTAGTCGCGCCTCTTAATACTTGAAATTCAATATCCAGCAAGATATATACCATTCTATTTGGACTTTAAAGAGTAGTCGAGGTTTATTGCTCCCATGGCTTAAAGCTGGCAAAGTCACAGCTGTCTCAGCTTGGAAGTTGCTTCGGCGACAAAGAGTTAAACGCACTGCGATTAGCCGCAATCGACAACTGCTGGCAATTATCGATAAACGATTGCAAATGAATGCGCCTGTCGTTGCCACGTTGCGCAACAAAAGCCTGAGACAGACGCGCAGCTAGACAATGCGGCAACTTTGCCGTTTCCGCTGCAGACGAGGCTGAGAACTTTGTTGCCGGCGTCCATTGTTGCTGTTGTTGCTGTTGTTGCTGTTGTTGTTGCTGCCGACAGCAGCAACATATCCGCCCAGGGCCGAGCTCTCGATGCCAGCTGGAAAAACTCACCCACAAAATGATGTTGAGCCAGCAAAAGGTGCGGCGGATGCAAGAGTAGCCGGCGTTGCCCATCTTCTGGGAGCTGCTAGCTGCAAAGAGAAAAGCAGAGAGAGAGTGAGAAATACATAAATCACGGCCTAATGGGGATTTAGAATAAAGAGAGGGGCGATGCGGGGAACGACAGGCAAGCGACGCGTTGCGCTGCATTCATTAGATACATTTGTATCTATTAAATGCGCGCTTTTTCGGAAATCACACACACACACACACACACCGGCGCACGAGGCGACCTCATAACGAGTGTGTGCTCTGTGTATAAATAAATTCAAATTCATAAATTTCAACAAATTATTTGTTGTTTCTATTGTATTTCCTTTGGCCCCATGTAACTGGATAAGTGTATCTGCCAGCGGGGCACATTCTATCTGCATTCATGTTAAGCAATTGGCCAGCCGCAAAAACAAAACAAATAACAAAAACTGCAGCTCTTGCATATACATAACAGCAGTACTTTTTTTTTTGTTTTTGCTGTTGTTTTTTAGTTTAATAAATTTACGACTTGCGAATAGCAACAACACACACACACACACAGTTATTATGAAATTCTCCAGCAGCTCAAATTACAAGCAGGCCGCCGACAAGCGTGCGCGGGGGAGCGGGTGAAGAGGGAGAGGGGGGGGGGGGGGGGGGGGGACATGTGTACATGCTTATATCTGGAAAACCTATTTGCGTACTCGTTTTCTCTAGCCGGCGGCCTAGTTTACCCTTAAATGTGACGTAGGTCAGTCGAATCACAGTTGACCCCAAATACAATTGACTTGTTTAGCTTTCATTAGATTTACCGTGAGGCTAAGTTAAAGTCGCTAAATTCTAAGGAAAAACGTTAGGCACTAAATTGCCGCACTTTGGCACACCCTGCAGATGGCATTGGATATATATATATATTGCTCCATCAATATAAATTAATATTAATTTATTGCATTTACAGAAAATTCGTGCAATGTCCCTGCTCGGGCGCCTGGTAAATCTCGCACAAGCGATCTAATGTTTGTGGGAAACCACAGCAAAGGGCTAAAGTGCACGCAACTTAATTTGAAGATAACAAATTTGATAATGCATATCTTTAAGACTACACATGTCCAATATGTCTTACGAGAACTATTCTCAATGTCCCTGCTCGGGCGCCTGGTAAATGTCGTACATGAGCAAAACTCTCTGCCAGAGCGATAAGAAGCACACAAGTCGAATGCTGAGCGGGCATATTTATACTTTTAAGGTTCGGAGATGTCCCCTTTTATGCGTTACATATTTCGTGAAAAATATTGAAAAT